TTTTGAAATCGATCAGTAGAACTGTTTTTCTTTCCGGAATCGTCAGTTTTATAAAAAATTAAAGGAGTAGGTACGTTTATTGTTCCTTAAACATCAATTAATGATGATTGAGATGAAACACATTTTTTTACGTTATTTTTCTCACAATTTCGCGTTAAATGCTAATTAAATATCGAAAAAAAAAATTATTTTGAAAAAATCTAATTTTGTAACTTTTTTTTCAATTTCAGAAAAAATGTCTTTTTCGACATCTGAAATATTCAATTTAAATTTTTTTGCAAAATTTTTCTCACAATTTTGCTTTAAATACTCATCAAATAATATCGAAAAAAATTAAAATATTGAAAACAATCAAATTTTTAAACTTTTTTCTTTTCAAAAAAAATTTGAAATATTCAATTTAAATTGTAAAAAAGAAGACGCAAAATATTTCTAAATAGTATTTGATTTTTTTTCAAAATTGATTTTTAGTTTTGATTTTTTTTTTCGATATTTGATGATATTGATATTTAAACGCGAAATTGTGAGAAAAATAACGCAATTAATTGATATTTAAGGAGTAATAAACCTACTCCTTTAATTTTTTATTAAAACTGACGATTCGGGAAAGAAAAAGAAAAATAGTTCTACTGATCGATCGAACATTTTTAACATTAAGGCGATGTTTCGCATGGTATAGCTATGTCCTATACCAACTCTCTCGGTTTCGAGAATTCAATACCTATGTATGTTTTCAGCCACGAAATTTGAATAATTCCAAATATTTCGAATTTTCACCACCAAGAACGGCGGTGACAACATTTTTAACATTAAGGCGATGTTTCGCATTGTATTAGCTACTCGTATGTCCTGTACAAAGTTAGTTTCGTAAAAAAAAACCTACAAACATTAGTACTTGCAAAAAATCAAATTTTTAACTTTTTTTCAATTTAAAAAATATTCAATTTAAATTTTTTTTCACAATTTTTCTCATAATTTCGCGTTAAATACTCATCAATTATAGAAAAAAATGAAAATATTGAAAAAACTTTTTAACTTTGTTTTACAATTTTGAAAAAAAATTTTTTTTCGACATCTGAATTATTCAATTTAAATCGTTAAAAAGAAGACGCAAAAATTTCTAAATCGATTTTTTTTTCAAAATTGATTTTCAGTTTTGATTTATTTTCGATATTTGATGATTAAACGCGAAATTGCGAGAAAAATAATAATAATTTTTTATAAAACTTTGACGATTCATTCATTTTTCATCTCAAGATCTCAAAACTCGAATATTCAAGCCCAAGATTATTCTTTCAAAAATCATTAAAAAAAAAATTGGATTTTTTTCCCCTTTAGACTAGGAGCTAAAGGTCCAAACTTGCCGGAAAAATTGGGTTTGAGAAAAAGAAAAACGGTTCTTCCCCCAGGAAAATTGTAAAAAATTGAATTCGAAAAAAAATTAAATTTGTGTGATAAGACATCATATTTTCGCCCAAAGAATTTATGGTTAACTGCTCGACCTACTCGACTGGAACACACCATGTTCATGTCCCAATACTGTCCTTTGTCAGTAATAGATGTCGAAAACCGTTATTTTTCTTGCACGAGTATACTATACAGCTAAGCCACGTGACCACCGACCTTAGGCAACTAACATAGCACGGCTGGTAATGTCAACAAAAAATCCCTAGACCTCAGCATCACCAATGTTGATGGTTTCACTTAGACGCATTCTTTTCTGTTCCGTTTCAATTATTCAAAATAATATTAAAGTTCGAAAACGACGATTTTCTTTCGTAACTCGTTAAATTTACATGCCACAATATCGAAAATTACCGAATTTACAGACCACCGCACCGGCATAAACATCGACCAATTTATTGCAAAAATATCATCCCAGTCCGCGGAACAAATTGTTTTTCGAACCGTTTCCAGCTTATTTATATCTCCTGTGGCGTCGATAATTCACATGTTATTAACCTCTAACTGTACTCGTGTCTATTGTTAAGTACGTTACATTTTCTCTACAACTTGGAAGATTACAGCGAGATAAAAAAAAAACGTTAGGTCAATTGATATTGTGTCAGTGGCTATAATTGCTTTACAAATTCCAGTAAAGTGTCGTTATCTCCCAAGCACAACAGTTAACCAAGTATGCTATTTAGAATGAAATTTATACAACACATATTAGCTTGCATATTTTTTTCGTGTTTAATACACGTCAGTTCACTTTTTATTTGAATAAAAGCGTCTATTTATTCATTACGAGCTTGTAAAATTATGGATGAAATCTGGCAACATTGCCATGGCGTGGTGGTAAAAGTTGGGTCAACTGTCATTACTGTCAACTTTGCGCGAATTCCGTAAACATGAATGAACAACCAAGGTACAAAGGAAAAGTAATGACTGAAAAGTAATATAAAATGAGTGTAAAAGAGAATGTGGATTGATGAGAATAAAATAAAATGTGCAAACCGAGAATCCATATGATAACTATCAAGAAGTTCAGTGTATGATAGTGAGACGTCGACTTGTCAAATTGAAGATTATGACATAACATCTATACTGTTCGTTTTGCAAAGAGATCCTTTCAATTTTTGTTTCAAATTGCTAGTATATTGCTTTAGATCACGAAAAATTTATTTAATATTAATTATTACTACATATATTTTCGACTGGAATAATTTTATAATCTATAATCGAGCTATTCAAATACATATAACGCATCAGTCGAAGCATTAAATACAGCGTACAGTGTTGCCATATTTCCTTTCATTGGATCAGATGTTTGTTCAAATTTGTCAAAACGTTATCTATTCATTCCATTATCTCAATAATTACATTGTAAGTGCATATTTTTATTGTTTTAAAATGTTTAGTAATATTTAATTCTTTAATTACAATTTTATTTTCCCGATCCTAACCATTTTTAAGAGCAATATTCACGTTTGATTAAAGTTTTTTCCCAACTCCCATAAGAGCCTGTGTAAAAGAGCATAATTTTTAAATTCATTTTTCAAAAAAACTACGTTGTCAATCGATCTGATATTTTTACACAAGTCAGTTTGCATATTTATTAACAGATTTCACTGATTTTGAAAACTTTCTTACCATTTTTCTTTTGGTATTATCGAACCTCCTTTTAAATCTACGGAAAAGATGATTTTCTCGACGAAAACAGACTTATCAACAGCTGGTTCAAAATATTTCGCCGCCAAACAAGCGAACAGTTCGCATCCTTTTAGATAAGGAACGTTTCTGAATCATGCATCCTTGATCTAACGCAAACGGAAGGGAAAAAAACAATGTTTTCGGTGGGAGATTAATTTCGAATAGTAATAGTTAACGTTGTAGTTGTGTACATGGTGATAATTACGTGTATCAAGGTCAATTCTGACATAACAGCGACAGGGGCGCCAGCGCAACGCGAGTTTGGGAACATCGCCCGCAAAAATATCCTGGCTTTTGATGTAGTCCTCACTTCTCAGTTCTCACCTGGTGGGGCAGAGCGATCAGGTCTGTCTCTGAGAGTGCTGTATGGTGCTGCCGCGCTACGAGGTGAAAATACCGAGTATCTAGCTTGTATCGGAGTAAATGGGGGTATTTCTTTTAATCAATTTAAAGTATGAACGCTATTCAAGATAATCACGAAAAAGATTTAGCCAATATTGGTATCATACTGGTAAAGAACAAATGTCAATGTATACAGTCAATATGATTCCTATAAAAGCCCAATATACAACCAGTAGTTGATAGGGTCACGTCGGACCGATATTGGATGTATATTGTCTGTAATACAGATATGATTCACAACCAATATTATGACAAAATCTGTCCTTTACAATATTTGGTCAATATGTGGAAAAAATATTTCCCCAATATGTTAGCTATTACTTATTTTTTTCTGCAAGTAACTAACTTCTAAACAATAACCGTGTATATGAATGAATGTGGTAAAAATACGATTAAAAAATATCTTACATTTGTTGAATTTATAACTATTCGTTCAAAATTTAATGTAAATCTATCGCTTCACTTTACGAAACGACTGAGATACTTCAGCCAAAATGTCAAACGTATGCTTTAGACATTTTACGATTAACCCAGTCTCTTCGATGTCAAAACAATATGTATTAATAGGATCAAAGAATATCAAACAAACTAATAACAGTAATAACTAAAGATGTGCCTCTTCTTCTGGTGGAAGAGGTGTCAAAATTTTACAATGTATTTTAATTATCATATTCCGGAAAAATTGTAATATGACGATAGTCCAGAATGTAGGTAACTGTAATTTGAAAATAAAAATGAAAGAGAAATCTTACGATTTGTATTCAAGTAAAGAAATTTGATACATTGAGATTTTGTAGAATTGTTCATTTTTTACAACATTTTAAAGAACTGTAGACAAATGTGGGTAGTAAAAATATGGAGTTCATCTTCATCAGCTAAAATCATTACGAAAGTGTCGTGTCAATCAACAAAGAGTTATAAGAACGTCTCAAGAAAAGGAAATAGTGGTACGCAAAAAACACTCAGACACGGTCTAATTCCAGATACCAACTGAATTGCGTATTGCTGGCTGGACACCTTAATACCTTTTTTCAATATATAGAAACACAAAATAGTTTTATACTGTAATAGGTGTAATTACAAATTAGGTATTTCAAAATATCAAACATACAGGGTGTGCCATTTAACACTCCCGCTGCCAGTATCTCCGAAATGAAATTTATTTTAGTTCCGGAAACTGGGATTGTTAGATCCCTCGAATAGCTAGCTTCAAATTACATTTAGAATTATTAGTTCAAATCTTTCTATATAGATAGCGTGGCGATACTAATTTTTTTTTGATTCCTGGAACGCGGAAGATCGTTAAATTTTGAGTAATTTTTGCAATATAAAGTTTTTCTCAATATTTACTTGTTGTCTGGCTACGACAGAGGAATCAAGTGCTTTTCCATTCAACGTTACGAGGGTAATACGAAAACTAATCCAATCACAAAGGTCAAACTTACCGACGATATTGTGCTGGTTGTAGTTGTAGGTGTAGGGCACCGAGTGCAGGGCCCTAGCGGACCAGCGCTTGTGCCTGCTCTCCTCGTCGTCGTCGCTGCCGCGGTCGGCCTCCTCGTGGAGGTAGTGCACCTTCTCCCACCGGTCCAGGTACCTGAAACAAAAAAAAAACCAAAGTGGAGTCTAGTTAGAATCGGAGACTACACTAACCGCGGTCGGGCGAGAGATCACTATAAACGGGTCGCCGCGGCACTGACCTGGCCCAAGAGCGGCACTCTCTCGCCGGGCGCGCCACGTGACAGCGGCGTCGCCGTCAGCCAGACCGCTCTGCTGTTGTGTTCGAAAAGAGAGAGGGGTGGCGAGGGGCCCCATTCATGTGCCGGCGGCCCGGGACACGGTCGGGGTGCCCGCCGTAGTAGTAGAGTAGTGCTCGACCGGTCGGCCGGACGTGGTGCGTGGTGGTGGCCGGCCGCCTGCACGCGGCCACACGGTGGCGACGTTCACGCACCAGGCCCGCCGACTGACAAGTGCGGGTGTGACGTGCCGTTTCATCTCCGAGGCAGCGGCACGGGCCGCCAATACGATGATGATTACGATCCACCGATATAAGTCGGCTGCCGTGTGGAGAACGAGAAGGGGCAGGGGGGAGGGAGGTGGCAGTCTAGTAGTCGGCGGTCACAGAAAAGCACGTGCTCGAAGCGGGCCGGCCTAGGTGGGACTGTTGCGATCTCGCTGCAATTATTGTTCGCGCTTTTAGCTATGTGGTGATATATCAAAAGATTGGCGTTAGTAAATCTAATAAATCTTCAGTTCTGACCAACGACTAAAATGTCATGACTAATTTAATCAGCGATCTTCAATCATTTGACTAATACTGATTTCTCAATGAGAAATATTAGTCGTAAAGCTTCAACCATGACTAAACGACTTAAGAGAAAAATTTAGTTATGACTTATCATATACAACTTTTGATGGAAAAAGTGAACCAAGTGAAAATTACACACAAAAACGCCCCACAGATACTGAAACTGCTCGTTTCCGAATCTCCTGGCTCAGAGTTTTTACCGCCACGATCAGCTGGTTGAGCAACGGAGACACAGGCCCCTAACGGACGCCCCTGAAAATCGATTTTTTTTTTAGTAACTTTTAAAATACTTTGTGCCTTTAAATTTCTCTTTACGGATGTAAGAAAAATCATATTGAACAAAAATAGTTTTTCCTCGAAAACAGTTCATTTTATCGATATCAACCAAGAGTTTAGTTTAAAGTTCAAGCTACCTAAAAACATTATTTTTGTGCCTTTATCGTAAAGGGTAAAGGGTAAAAAAAATTGACCTGACCTGACAAACCAAATAAGCCACATTGTTTTCAAGGGTCAATTTTTAAAGTCTTATCTGTTATCCATCGTATTAAAAAATAATTAAATTACACAAAGTATTTTAAATTATAAAAAAAAATTAAAATTTCTCCTTCAGGGCCCTGTATCTCCGTAGAGGGGCCTTCTAGGGAAAATTTTGAAAATTTTCATAGGAACTCGTCATTTTATTTTAACGTCATCTGCATAAATCCGAGAGATTGCCCACATATTCTAGGACACCCTGTATAATCTATAAACATAAACATGTTTATATTTTTATAAAATTTTAAAAGTTCCATATTGTATATGGTACCTCATTTCTTTTTAATTGCTATAGTTATTCGGGTATAAACAAAGCAAAATGAACATATAAAAATTATGTTTAATTTAATTCTAAACATTAAAAATCTTCCAAATCTTTAATTACATTGATTAATCTTTAAAAATACTAATTACAATACAATTACTTAAATGGAATTGGAAAACAAAATGTGGTACCAAATTATTTTCGCAAAACATTAAATACGTTTTTTCTCTGAATTGACTTTGGATCAGATAACTTTCTTCTAAGAGTCCTTAATGAATATTTTTTAAATTTTCTCAATTTTTTCTAAAACTGGAAATGGTAAAGTTTTCTAGTCAATAAGGACCATTTAATTGCGATTTACAATGTTGATAATTTTCGGAGGAATATAATTTATTATCAAATTTACAGAATATCACTTAACTGAAAAAACTTAATGCAAAATATTGATTACAAAAGGAATAAATTTAGAATTTGAAAACGTACCATAGGAACTCCTTTTCTATTCGCAGTTTTCGGACATCCATTATAAGTCATACTTTTTCATTTGTAGATAAAATAAAAATATTTTTAGTTATAACTAACACGCATTTGAAATATTTTAAGTACTTACGAAAAAAGCAGTAAACTTAACAGAAAAAATAAAACAATTACAGTGTAACCTCCATTATCCAAACAGGCCTTTATCCGAATATCCACTTAACCGAACGGAAAAAAACGCAAGACATTATCCGAACGAGCCTCGTTTATCCGAACTGGGTGGCCGCGGAGCTCGGGTGATATGCGAAATTTGCTGCCGCGCTTGCGTGTGCGACTGGGTTTTCGTCTCGCCCGGCCCAATCGCGGTGGGACAGGAAGATGTGATAGATTTAATGACTGACAATGACATCTTGCACAATATAGAGAATGTGGAAATAGCCGAAGAAGAAAATGAGACCGAAGGAGCTGCCGACAACAAAATAACTCATGGAGAAGCCGTGCAATGTTTTGACAAATGTATAACGTGGGCCAGTGATAATGGCGAAACGTCTCACAACATATTTCTTTTAAAGGAGATGCAGATTAGAGCCAGAAAATTAGAAAGTAAATCCCTTTCACAAAGAAAAATAACGGATTTTTTTAAATAAAATATGTTTAAATATGTAGTTTATTAACTTTTTTTTGTACATATATTTATGTATACATACTTTAATATGTAGTTTAATAAGTGTTTATGTCTTTATATTTTTTTTGTATATGTTTTTCCATATTATAATTACAAACTTGAAGTATTAAAAAAGGTTTTTAGAAAAATAACTGTTTTAATTTTAAATTTGATTATCCGAACAAATTGATTAACTGAACAAGACCTTACAATAATTAGTTCGGATAATGGAGGTTGCACTGTANTTTATTTAAATATTTTTGGTTAATTTAATTCGGTACTCTTCTCCTAACTTTATTTTACATATACGACGTCAGTAAACGAAAAATTAAGAAAATCGCTAATGCCTGATGACACACAGGTGGGGTGGAATAAATTTAATAATTTTTCGTCATCCGCTAGAAGTTGCTACGGTCTCTCTCGATAATAGACTCTTTTAGTGTGACATCACATATTTAGGCAACCCGCAACAAATTGTCATAGTTGAAATTGTACACACCGAATCTGACCCTTGTGTACTGTTTACATAGATGCTATAAAAACCTCAAATTAATTTACTTTTAAAGGGATTTGGAAGTATTTAAGAACAACCAACATATGTTTCGTAAAACATATACACTAATGTGCTTAAAACTTACAAAAAGATATAAAAGAATATTCCTAAATTTAAATAAAGTACAAAATTTACATTAACCGTGTTATTCCTAATGTTCATGCTTGGAAAGAATAGCCTCATACGCAGGTGAGGTCTCGTTGATATGTTATCGCTGTCATCATTAAGTATTTTCTCTTGTTTTGTTTAATCTTGGCATTTTCTAGTTCTACTAAGTATTTTTATTGTTTTTCTTGGTGTTGTACTGTGTCAGTGTGTTTATCGAGTGTTTTTGCTCTTCAAGTGGTTTATTATAGACGTACTCTTAACCATAACCAAACTATAAATTTAAATATATAAATTCTATAATTTATTTAGTTTGTCACTTTGGGTTTGAAACTTCTTAAATATTTCTAATACTGCCAGAATATCGCAAAATTTAAGGACGTGACAAAGAAACCATTTTTTCGCACATTAGGTCGAAAATCGATCTAGTAAATATATTTAGAAATTCTTCATGACAATGTGCACTATGGGGTTGCCTATTATTTGGCGTATGTGACGTCACTACTAAAACTCTGATCTAAGTTACAAAATTAATTATGGTGTAACAAAACAGCAACAAAAAAGCAACAAAACCCACTAATTGTTTCTATTGCAGTCTGCTAACTTTCCTCCACGAAACATTGTCAAAACGCGTAAGTCCCCTGTAACTATTTACAACAAATTTTATCTCGAATCTCAATCAACAAAACCATCCCGCGCATCGGGAATACGTCACTATAAAAGCTCGACATCCCCGACACCTGTTCGCGTGGGGACTCCCCCGTCGCGGAACCGGGTCACACTGCCGTACATCCGCACCACCACCACGGAGCGGGGTCGTCCGTAAGGCAGTTTCGCGTCGTGGCGGGCCAGACTGTTCGGCGACCGTAACGCCAAGCCAACTGGGATCAACGCATCGCCCGAACAACCTTCGCCTTCCTTATCACATCGCGGAGTCGCGTTGGCCGTCGCGGGTACAACAACAACAACAACAAACCCGAGACTGCAGCGGCGATTTCCTCCTCTTGGCCGAGGTCGAAGCCACCGCGCGCCCGTGATTATTTTTAAGGGGTAAGGCTGGCCGCACACGAGCGGACAACGTCGCCGTTGTTTCTCTTGATGCTGCTTCCCACCAGAATTTGATAAAATATAAAAAAACACGGAACAATCACACGTATTGAGTCTCTTTTCGGTTTAAGCCGGCCATACACGACCGGATGAAATCGCCATTGTTTCCCTGGTACCCTTTCTTACTGTAGTTTTAAAAGAAATCGCTAAAATTGCACAAATTACGTCTACTCTCTTTACTTTTAGCTTCTCCATGTTATATAAAAAAAATAATCATATATAAACTAGGGATCGACCGATATACGATTTTTGGCCGATACCGATATATCAAAAGCCGATATACCGATATCAAAATCAAGCCCATTATAGAAATTTTTTGAAAAAATATTTACCCCATGTCAAAACAAGGAGAAAACTGAAAGTCCAATTTGTATTTTATGCAAAAAATCTGTTTCTTACATCACAACTTGCTACAAATTAAATTATAAATATTTTAAAAATAATGTTTGTTTTGATGACTCCACATTTTTTGATATTTTTTGTTTTCTTTTCTCATGCCTCTAAGAATAGTTTTAATTTATAACTACTTAATAACTACTTAGTAACTTAATTAAATTACATATACTTGCATGTACTTATTTATACCTGTTTCCTTTATTTTTTAGATTAAAACATAAGTAATTATTCTTTGGATTTTTTTCTGCTAAAACCAATAAGTACTAATTACTGTGGCATTTCATTTCATTTATCATTTATTTTAGGCAAAGAATGATCTGCCTTGCACTTTTGTACAAATAAATTATGTTTTTTCGAGTCTTGTTACTCGATTTTTTAAAATATTTTTGTATTAGAAATATATATAATATTTCGGTCTATATCGGCCGATACCGATAATCGGCCAAAGAGGCCGATAATGCCGATATACCGATATATGTATCGGTATCGGTCGATCCCCAATATAAACCTCCCTCTCATTATTCATAGTTAAAAATTAAAAATAGTGCCAAAACGATTTCACTACCAGACCTAACCATTCACTTCCATACGCTTGTTTATGGCCAGCTTGTAATCATTCACGTGAACGAAATGACGAATTCTCATTAAAATGTACCATAGTTTACATTACTTCAACTGTGATCCAACTTTACTATAATTTTTTCAAATTAATCCCCAAGTTACATTTTTCTCTTCTCTTCAAACTCGGCCAAATCACAGTCTGACAGAAGTTAATTGTATTTATTTATAAAAAAAAAAACAACAAAATTTGTCAAAAAAACAGCAGGAAGCTACTAGAAGAACAATAAAAGTTTGCACATATCTAGAAATTGTATGTTTTCTAGGTGTAGGTAAGATCCATCTCTTCAACTGTTTTTTTTTTAATCTGATTTGGTTAATTCTGTATGACTTTAAAGATTTGTACACCTACAAACAAACTTTTGTCGAATTCTTTTTTTTTTCAGTTATCTGCATTTTTATAGTNGTTTTCAACGCATTCGACCTAGCGCAGGTGGCGCTCTCTATGAGCTACAAGCAAACCATGGATATATTTCAATCTCTCGCCCCAGAAAACCCCTAACACCAAAATTTCATCTCGATATGAGCATTTATTATGAAATAAATAAGAAAAAACTAAAATAATATTTTGCATTAAACACCCTGTATCTCTGTAAGTATCAACTTTTGGACTAAGGTGAGTTTGTCTAAATCGCAATATTTTCACGTCAGGAATCTATTCATGAATTTTGGCCCATTACATCGCGACCACCTTGTATAATATATCGGTCTATATCGGCCGATACCGATAATCGGCCAAAGAGGCCGATAATGCCAATAGGCCGATATATGTATCGGTATCGGTCTATCCCTAATATAAACCTCCCTCTCATTATTCATAGTTTAAAATTAAAAATATTGCCAAAACGATTTCACTACCAGACCTAACCATTCACTTCCATACGCTTGTTTATGGTCAACTTGTAATCAATCGTGTGAAGAAATTAGGAATTCTCATTATGATGTACCATTACATCTAACTTTACCATCATTTTTCAAATTAATCCCTAAGTTATATTTTTCTCTTCTCTTCAAACTAGTCCAAGTCACACCATTACAAAAATTAATTGTATTTATTTATAAAAAAAAAAACAACAAAATTTGTCAAAAAAACAGCAGGAAGCTACTAGAAGAACAATAAAAGTTTGCACATATCTAGAAATTGTATGTTTTCTAGGTGTAGGTAAGATCCATCTCTTCAACTGTTTTTTTTTTGGTTAATTCTGTATGACTTTAAAGATTTGTACACCTACAAACAAACTTTTGTAGTTCACTTAATATGTGACATTTCTAAAACTTGAGGCAGCAAATTTGATTCACATCCATTAACTGATTGTCTAACATAAAAAAACGTCCATTTTCAAAGCCAAGTAGGCGACATACTTATTTTTTTTCCTCCAAGACTGCCTACGACCGTCAACATTAATATTACTGAACGATTTACCAACAGCGACACGTATTTGGCTAAAAATAAACACGACCCCGCCAATAAGGACGGCAATTTTATCGTTAATATAGTATTGCAGTCTCAGGGTCGACATGGTAAGCTGATACTTGAGCAGGAGCATGTCGCCTTCGAATCGTGGGATTTATTTTTAGAAGAATCATTCCAATTACGAAACGTTTCCCAGAAAGTAAACAGTTCAATACATAGCGGTGGATGGGGTTAACGCATCCAGAAAAATCTCTGACGACGGACTTTGACGGCGAGTTTTCTCCAGAACACTGCTAGAAGGTCGGTGTTTTTGACTTGATTTTAAGATCTGTAAGAACGCATCTGCATTTTGTATTTTCTATCGATTCCTACGAGATATATCAGTTAGACGAAACCATCAGAGACCAGTACGCCTATGGCCGGCACCAACACATGGCCTTGCTTACAATTTTACAATTACTGCGACCGTACTACCGATAATTGTCGTGTTCGTTTTAAAAATAGCCGTCGAGTATTTTCTACCCGAGAAAAACACCACAATGGATACGGCGAAAGAAAGGAGATTTTCCTTACCTCAAATATATCTGCTTGAGGGCCACACTGCCATTCACGCAAGTCGCCGGTATCTTCAGGGACGGGAGAAGGTCCTTCCAAGCGTTCCTCGAATTGACCTGCAAAGATAACGAGGGTACATTATTATCGAGCATCACCTATCTTTATCTCCTAAGTTCCTATCGAGCCGAGAAGCCGCAAAAGCCTAATAATTTTTGCGTTATAATATCTCGTGTTTACTTTGCATTCCGATAATTTTTGTTTTATTTATTTAACCCGAGTTTTGTTCAGCATCTGACACTCCACTTAATTTCGTAACTTTTATGCACACGATACAATATTTGCCAGTAAGCATTTCAGTATGATATGACTAAGTGTATGAGGCACGTAGGTACTTGCAAAATAAGACGTTACTTCATTAAAAACAATAATAAACGTGAGAACAACGATTAATCTCGATTTTGTAATAACATATGTCTACTTTGAACCGTGTTTTATAACTCTATTGTCTTACAGAAATATTTCTTTATAAGATAAACCACACTTGACACGAAATAAAACAAGGGACGGCTTTGGGCGTAGCTAGAATTTTTGCTTGGGGTGGGCACAGGGCTGCAAGCTTTAAGGACCATCTAAAAAAAAAAAATCACAATCGGCAACTTGAAATTTTCAAAAACCTGAACACGTTTTGATTTCATTAAAAAAAAAAGATCGCGTAGTCAACGACTTACCGATATGCCGATATGATATTAGATCTTTTTTCTGGGATGGGCCGTACACACTCCTGCTTCCCCTTAGCTACGCCCATGATTATAATCAATATAGGGTCAAATCTAATTCATTTGAATTTAAATGTTTTATAGCCATTATACTATCTTTATACAGGATGTTTCAGTTTATGTTTCGATTATTCCTTCATAGGACTTTTTAGAGTTGATATTTGAAAAAACATATGTATTTTATAAAATATTTCCGATTTTGATGAATTTATATTTAACGATTTGTCTGATTAAAATTAAACATTTATTAAATTTGATTATTTTAAAGTCACAGCTTATAACTCATTGTGGTAATTCTAAGAAAAAAAAACTATTTTATTGTAAAAACCAATTTTTGACTTATTTTTGCTTTTTTAAATTATATTGTCAGCTACCAAACACCGGAAATTTTCCACGGATTTTTTCTCCCGACTTTTTCTCCAGACTTGTCCGAGCCATGCACACCCCTGCTCCCCCCTAGCTACGCCCATGGGGAAGGGGATGTATCGGCGTTAATAACAGAATATTATTTATTTTGAATATTTACGCATTCACAATTTGTCAGTGACAACCGTTAAACATATGTTAAAAAATAATATACTTTTTTCTGACTTGGTACTTTTTGATGTATGTAGGTTTTAACTATATCCAATTGTGTTTTGTATTCATTCTTGTCCTTTTTTATTGCTTATTTATTGTATTTGTTTATTTTTAATCTGTTCTCTTTGACACAGGAGTAAATCAACTTTGTTGATACACCTTCCTTTTGTAAAAATGTTGTTTATACTTCTTTTTTGCAATAAATGTATTATTATTATTATTATTATNTAAACTATTGGAAAAAAAAACATAAATTGAATCCTGTAAATAGTCTTAGCAAAGTATAAAACTAACAAAAACTTGAATGATAGATGGTGGATATTTTGAACAATTTTTATAGTCCTAAGATTTATTAGTTTGTTTAATAAAGGTTAACTAATTTGAAACTTTAAACACAAATAATAGTTATTGTTATATCAACCATTATTTTTATTTATCAGGCTACTTTGATTGAACAGTACTTTGTTTTCGCCTTCAAAAGACTTACAAAACTAGCCCTCGAGTGTCAAAAAATAATGATTAGATCAAGAGTTATAAACAACGAATCTTGACGATTTTTTTTTAACTTAAAGCTCTTTTCATAAGCTTTCCGAATATGTGATAATATATAACTATATCACGCTCGTGCGTCGTATATTTCATTTTACAACTAAGGCTAAAAATTAAAAAAAAAATTCCAGGTCGCATTTGAAATTTTAAAAAAAATGATAGATTTCAATGTATTATTATGAAATCTACCATGAAAAAAATCAGTGCGATTGTGGATGATCCTCGGGATCGTCCAGACTAATAATTAGTTAATTTGTTTATAAGGCCATAACTTCTAAACTATTCAACTTACCGATTCCAGATTTCGTGTGAGTCATTAGACAGTGATAAGGAACGAGAGGATGCGATGCAAAAACGTTCTGGTAATAATAAAGCAGTTTGTAAATGTTTAATTCAAAAGTCATAAGTAAATAAACTTCTTCTGTTTATAACTTTTGATCTAATCAATATTTTTTGACGCTCCAGGGTTACTTTTGTAAGTCTTTTGAAGGCGACAGAAAAAGTACATTACTGTTTTCTCGTGGAAATGAACGGAAAAAGGTTATAAGCGAAAAACATGAATTTAGGTACAAATGATACAATTAACCACCCTGTAAACAATCTTTCACCCATTTTTATGACTGTGGAAACTAATATGTTACTGTACATAATATATAGCATCTATAGTGATAAATTCAGCTTGCCGAAACAAAAAGTCGCGTCCAACTGCATATGTCCTGGCCTATTTTAATAATAAGCGAACCCTGTCTTCCCAAACTAACGCGTTGTCTTTTCCACGCGCCGACCGAGGCACGGAAATCCGTCGCGAATCGCCGCCACCTCCTGGGACACGCTGTTCTCCCGATGGCGAGTTACCTGGCACGCACACCTGTCGCGAAAATGTGCCACACCACGGCGACGGGGGCATTGATAAGAGGCGGGCGGGCAAAGGCGGTCGCTCGCCGACCTACAAAGCACGCGCCGATCGTCCGTCCTGGCGGATGCCAACGCCTCTGCGGCGAAATCTCGATCACGGCGGCCACCTCTTCAGCGGCTGGCGCGAGAACCAACCGTTTCCAGTTTCCACTTCCACACGTCAACGCTGCTGCCGCCCGTGCACACACACACAGACGATCATCGGTGTCGATGTAACCGCAAATAGGTCTCCGAAGGGCACCAGAACCGGTCCGGCCGCATATGGGTTGTGCTTGTGTGCAGTCTGTAGTATTGATTTTTTTTCCACACACCACATAATATGACTAAGACGGTCTGCCACGATCTTCTGATCTCGTGATTTAAGACTGGAAATAGAGTGCAGAAATTTCGTAAATGATTACAACCCATGTGACCATTAATTTGGTTTGAATCAGTGATTTTATTTCCTTCGTGTTGGCAATTAAATTTTAGTAAAATTAAAAATTACCAAACCAATAAGATCACGATTATGTAAAAAAAACATTTCGTTTTACCGGCTGGCAATTTTTCACATTTCATTCAACCAATCGGCAATCGGATTATCTTGATCGTTGACGCAACGGTTTGCTACGGTTCATTGTAAACGAATCATTACGATTGCTGAACTAAATTGAATTTGTGCATTTTTCGGTAGCGTCCGTCGTCCGTCCGTCCGTCTGTTATAGCTGTTTTACATTGACAATTTATTCATCAATAAATTGACGAAGTTCTTCATGAATTAATTCACGAATTTATTGGTAAAAAGTGTGGTTTTACACTGCTACAGACTTTGTCGAGTTTTTTGACGTATGAATCAGTTCTACCAATGAATCAAAGAAGCAAATACATTTCAAAAATGTCACCTCTCCACTCATAATTGTAGTGATACAACAGCGGTACCGTTCTGGCACATATTATATAAATATTAGTTTTTTTAATAACAAATCAGTAAAAACAATGCAAAACTAGCACGACGCCACACAATTATTTACATATTCCAATAACATAACCCCATTACTGATCTGAGGCTGGAAATCTGTTGGGTTGGTACTTCCGAACTTCACGAAGAAATTGACGAAAATTAGAACATGCTCTAATTCGTCAAGAACTTGATGAATAAATT